TCATACAATGATTAGCAATGCAAATGCACTCACATCTTCTTCTGCTTTTATGCTGTACTGATTTCTTTTTGGAACCATGGCTAAAGGAAGACTGTTTCCATGATGAAAATGCTTAACGGGGGATCCAGAAAGTCTAGTTTCTGACTCAGCTCAGTCAAATTTGCTTGGTGACTCCCATGCACCTGGATCCCAGGAGAAAGCCTCAAACCCAGGTGAGGTCTGGCAGTCCCCTAGACATCAGGGAAGGTTTGGTGTGGGCCTCTGATGCCCCACGGGGAGCACATGGGACAGGGACTGACAGATGCTGGGTGAGAAAGTTGTGTTTTGCAAGTCTGCAACTTTTTCAACCTTCCCCCGCAAAATGAGGCACCTGCATCTAGCCCTGGGCTGGCCACTGCTGTGAAAAAAGAGTCCATTGCCCCAAATTTTAGGTGCCTGAGTCACTTCTTTGGGGACTGGCTTGATTCCTCCTTTGAAAGGAAAATGGATGAGGAGTTGCCTGTACCTCTTGCTGGTCAGGACTTAGACCTCCCCAGCTCTTGGGGGTGCCCAGCACCTACAGTGGAGTATTGAGTGTTCAGCAAGTCTCATCGGGCTCCAGGTAAACTAATCTCTCATCCTCTGCCTGTGTTGTTTCTCCTCTTAAGGTAATTTTCCCATTTAAATGGTTTTGTGCAAATGGTTCCTTCAGTTTTCTTTAGAGACAAAAGTGTGAAAGTATCTACTGGAAAATCACATCCCAGGGTTGTTTTCTTTCTGATCTTAAAACAAGAACCTTTATTAGTCTCCCATTACTGCCCATCAACTTGGGAAAGACTAAAAGTAATTATATTTGGAGATTAGAGAAATTAAGTCTCAAGAGACATGGGGCCTTTCAGCTTTTTCATGCTGTTGATTACATCTTTCTGTTGTGTGTGCCATAAAAGTAGTAAAATTTAAATATTTTATAAAAGTGATCTGTGATTGGTGATGGTATGGAACTGATCTGGTGGTTCAGTTTACCTATGATTTAAAAATCCCCACAAGGAAAGTCTTAAATGCTTCCATCCGTCCCACATTATGTGTATATCATCTCGATCAGAAAGACTTTCTCGGTAATAAAGCTCCTCTATCTACCTAGTTGTGAGCGTGCTGCCTTCAGACAGTTTCTTTGTAACGGATGGCATGGAAAACTCTTCCAAGGCCAAAATACGTGAAAAAGATTTATTAGTCCTGTAGCCCCCGTCATCACGGTAATGCTAATAATCCATAAGCCTTACATCATGTCTAACATCCCATGTAACAAATGCATCTCTGGGAGATGAACAATAAATCCTGTGTGCACTCTGCTCCCTCCTCCTGCGCCTTCTTGAGGAAGCCCCGGATTTGGTGCAGGTCTTTCCAGCTACCCTGGTTCCTTCTTGCTTCCCGTGCTGGCAGGGGGCTGACACTGCCCCAGTCCTTCCCGGGGGGACCCCTCCTCCAAAGCCGTCAGTATTTGTCACTGTATTTGCAGTCAGGGTAGCGGTAGGCAAAACGGGAATCGCAAGACCGCAGAGGTTTCAGGAGCTCTGCCAGCTTTGCAACCGCCTCGTCGACGCTCTGGTCATCGGTGAGGCCGTCGGCGCAGTGCTGCAGGAAGCTGTCTATTTTCTCCTGCACGGGTTGCAGGAATTTCCCCTTCAGGAGCTTAGGCAAAAGCTCTTGACACACCATGACGAGGCTGTGCTTCTCTCTGATGGAGTTACAGGACACAAATGCGGACTGGCAGTCCACAGTCAAACAGCTAAATATATCTTTATACTCCTGCTGGCTGTCAATCAGCTGGCTCCCTATTAGAGACAATTAAACCAGTCGTTAGAAGCACGGTAGCGAAATCTTGGATAATCACATATGTCTGTACCTCTGTATTAACATGGCGTTTGTTACTATCTTTCACCACAAAGTACTCTGTGCTGCAGCTGTATATGGGCCAATTTTCTCACTCCTGAAATATGTATATTTTTCTGAATGACAGAGCTCTGCAGAACCGCCTAACAGAGGAAGTGGAGAGGAGTCTGTCGAGTCAAACTGATGCAGAAAAAGCAAGAACAACTGGAGTACTAACCTAAAATGTGGAGTTCCTACAAAACCTACCACAAATAGCTAAACCCATAATTTTTCCATGTTACCCAAAATCATTAAATTGCAACAACAGCTCATCTAGCTGCAGTCTTGTCAACAGTAATAGCTGTTGGGACAAGAAAAAGAAACCCAGTGGAAAATTCTCTGACAGCTGCTTCTGAATATTTGAGATCTGCTCAGCCGAATGTGTGAGCTGAGAAAAGGCCTTCTGAAAATTTGAACATTCAAAATGAAATTGTTAAATTATTGGAGGAATAGTCTTTGACTAGCTCTACTTCCAGGAACAGACCAATGTAACCTGTGAAAAGTGAATAGTAACTCTTGATTTTACGTAAAAATGACAAAAGGGGGATTTTGTTGTTATAGTAATAATTATTTGTTAATGTGATAAATGCACCTAAAAAGAGTCTAATTTGACCCAATACTTAAAATAAATGAAGTTATGAAATTTCTACTTTGTGAAATTGACATTTGTGTGGCAAAAGTTTTAAAAAAGGTATTTTAGGAAGACTTCAAATGAGAGTGTTCAGCACTGTGCACGTTGAATGCTGCTGCCAGCCACAGAGGGGGCCGGGCAGGACGTAAGCTCCCACAGTCGGTCACCAAACCACTGACTGCACAAACAAAACGCCTGTCGCCTTCCCGACTCAGAGCCCCAGGATGGCAGGAGCCGCTGATGCTTTTGCTGTCGGTAAATCTCTCCGTGAACTTTTTATTATTTAATTAGCAAGCGATGTTTGGTTGATTAAAAAAAAAAAATCAGCAGCAGAGCCGAGCATAGCAGGTGAAAGATTTGTTTCCCCTGCCTTGCTGAGCCCTCCTGTGACAGATGCGCAGCCCCGGAGCCTGCTGAGTACCTTCCTCCTTGTCGATGATCCCCAGCGTGCTGGCATCCCGGATGAACAGATGCCCGTTGCTAAACACGCCGAAGGTGCCAGCATCCACGTGGGTGAAGAAGAAGAAATAGTTGAGGTCGTTGGTGCCCATGGAGCGAAGGACGGCGAGGAGCTGGAGGGCCAGGTCAGCGGCCACCTCGGGGGCCGCGCCATAGAAGTCACGCAGGGGCCGGGTGCTGGCGCTGACCACCAGCCGCCCGCAGGAGCCCAGGTACCGCGGGAAGGGCCATCCCTCCACGTCGGGGAAGATCTACCGGGGAGAACGGGAATGGGGAGATTGCCCCCGCCCTCTGGCCACTGGGCTCTGCCCACGGACCCACCTCCCTCCTGGAGGACTTTCAAGTGCCCTGGCCAGCTTCAAGCAGCAGCGCAGGTGTCGTGTTTTGCTTTCTAAAGCAGCCCGCAACCCTTCCTCCCCCCAGCCTGCCCCACCAGCGGTGAAGGCACCGCTCTGTCCTGGAGTAGTGCTCTTTTTTCTTTTTTTTTTTTTCTTTTCCTTTTTTTAATTAAGGAAGTAGAATCTGATATTTCAAGACTTATTCCATGAGGGAGACTAACCGCAAAGTCCAAGATAATAATAGATTTCAAATTCATGAAAATTTTAGCCACAGAATAGCTAATTTTAGGTGTCTTTATGGAGCCTTTGATGGGTCCCTCATGAGCACTGCGTAGCTGAAGTCACGGCTTGGAGGTGAGGTGGGGCTAAAGCAGTTTTCAGTAATTTGTAAGAACTGCCTGGCTGTTTTGTAAGAGATTTCACAGTCTCAGGAACGGAAGTGCTGGCTGTTTGCTACAGTGGGGACACCTGGGCTGGGCTCCCTGCATCACCTCAGCTCGTGCTAGCAGCACAGTTATCCCAGGTGGAAACCAAACCATATGACTACTGAGCCGTGCCAACACAAAGCTTTCTGCCATTTACACTACAACTTCTCTGTCTCCCCAGCGCCCCAGACCCTGCCAAGGCAGGGTTATGAACTCGTCCAATTTCATGTTTAAGGTTGCTTCTCCCTTCTGCTGTGAAGGCATTTTGGGCACCCACGTAAAATCAAGCCATTTCTCTTTGGCATATTTTTCTCACCTCTTTAAGCTGCATTGCCATATCTTTACAGTGCTGAGAGCCGCAGCCTGGTGCCCCAGCGGGCCATGGCCGGGGCGGCTGAATGACCACCGGGGAATTCCCAGAGCACGAGCACCATTCCCCCTTCCTGGGACTGGGCAGAGCCCTGTGAGCTGCTGAGGACAGTGGTGGCCTGGGGCAGGAGAAGGTGCTGCCGCTGCCTCTCTTCTTTGTGGAATGTCAAAGGGTTGAAAGAAACAGCAATGAGGACTAAAGGTGGGGCGGTGGTAGGGATGGGTGAGGATACTCCCTCAGAAACACATGTAAGAAAAGAGAGGAGCCGCATGCCAGGCATGCCAGCAGGGGACCAGGGAAGGGGTGTGAGGCCTCCCAGCTCTCTGCCTTCAAACTCAGAGCTCATTTGTATTTGGGATTTCACCAAACACCTCTGCAAAGCTGCACTTTGCTATGGAGCTAGTTACCAGTGGCATGTAAATGGAAAAAACAGCACTGGCACAGGCAGCCTGGGAAATCAGTGCTCCCCAAGTCCATGTTCAACCTCAACGCTGCGTCTTGGTCCTCCCATGCTAAAGCATGCTCTTTCTCTTTTATAAACAGGCTGTGGTTTTAAGTAATATATTAGAGATGCAAACATAACACCACGAAGTATCAGGGACATGTAAAACCCTGGCTTTCACAGTGCGCTAGTGCAATAACCTGTCTGGGTTCTGATTTATTTAACGGGCTGGGCATCCGTATCTCTCCACAACTGATGCAAGGAGCACCGCAGGAGTCTGCCTGACTTCAGCCATCCAACCCCATAGAAGAAACTCATTTTATGAAGGCTAGAGAGCTTGCCAAAGGGTAGGGCTGGGATTTCTGTCCAGCTAGGGGCTGGTGCACATCTCATGCAAGGGTTTGCTTGCAAGGGGCTGCAAGGTGGTATTTCAAGCTGGGGAGAAGTGGTACGTACCTGTAACAAGATGGGATGTGAATTCACTGACAGCGTGTACAAGAGGCGCAGTTTGTCCCGGTCGGTGAGGTGGTCCATGTAGATGCTGCCAGCGTCTGGCACCTCAGCATAGCGCCGCACTATCCTGTCGAGGAGACGCTGGGATGGGCAGCGCAGCATTGGACTAGACAGGCCCTGGCGAGAGGGGAAGACATGACAAAGGTGTTTATTTTCCAGCCTGAGATGTTGCAATGTGTTTGGCCCATGCTGGGGGTACGGGTACCTTTGTGCTCTGCCCACTGCGCCTCTGCCCCCTGCGGCACAGCTGCTGGTGGGTACGGGCACACAGGGAGTTCTCTACAGCAATCCCTCCTAGGCCATCCAAAAATGCCTGTTCACAACTCAGGTTTCCAAAATAGCACCCAGTCTGCGCAGCACAGCCACAGAGGCTGCAAACCCCATTTCCCCCTGACTGCGTGGCACCGTGTTGCTCCGTGCCAGCGGGCCTCCTCCCTCCGCCTGGGTTTCCAGCCCTGGCATCCCGGCTCGTTGGTGGAGGCCTCCCTGTCATTAAGCCTGTGAGTCACTTCCCTCGTTAAATAATGTCTTCAGATTGCTTCGCTATTTGCTTAACCTGTGAGCAGCTTTCTTGGAAATACTATTTGCTAAGGTCAGTAAACATGCTTTAAAAGTGTAAATAAACACTGTATATGGGTACAAGCACAGGATGTATTCTCTCTCTGATAAACTTCCGCATTAACTATCAAAACCAAATTTGAATAGCCTGTGCATATTTTTTGTAAATACCAGCAACAAATAAAGAACTGTTGGGCTAATAGAGTCAACCATCACTGTATTTCTCCCTTCTGATTTGGAAGGTTGGCTTGTAAAATTGCACAAGCAATCTATGGCTGGGATAAATGGCATATAAATTTATTCCTTCGTAGTTAAAAAAGACCTTTGTTTTGAAGTCAGTCTTCCTTAATAACCAAGGAGAGTGGACATACGGAGCGTTGCCCGTAGTGGCGCAGAAACGCTGCCCTGCCATGCCTCTGCTGGGGAAGGGAATCAGGTTTTTGCTAAGCCTTTTTCTTCCAAATGATCCGAGTAGTCAAATTTACTCTTTCGGGTTTTCTTTCTAATTTGATGGCTGGGAGACGTGCTTCAGAGGAAAGGGCACTGGAGCTCACATTGCTCCCTGCCAATGTTCACGCTGAGAGCAAAGATTTGACTCAGGATCTCCCCAAGTCATTTGGTAACTCTGAGGTAGGTCTCTCTTAGCCCTTCCTGCGTGAGCTGTTCATTTGGCAGAAAACACTTAATTACCCAGCCACGACAAAGAAATGAAGAAACAAGGAAAGGAGGAGTGTGCTGCTCTCCTGGTAGGAGGTGGAAAGGGGGGACCAGACCCCCCACGTCCCCTCCTCTGCCTCCCTGCTGGCCTCAGTGAGGTCCCAACTGCTCCTGCCTTGGCCATCGGTTGTACAAAACAAGCCCTGAATGCCAATAGCTGCTCAAACCTACCTGAAAATCTCAACCCCGACTGGAGCGTTGTTTCGCAACAACCAAAGAACCATTTATTTCCCCAAGAGAATAAAACATTTGTAAAAAGTAATTCTCCCCAGTTCCAGTTACAAGTCTTCATACACTCCTCTCCTCTGGTGTAGCCTTATCAAGGAAATATTTTTTCAACTATTTATCTAAAACCATAGAAGGAGGGGGAGGGAAGGGATGGTTATGGATTTCTCTCTAGCAGCACTTGCAGGCACGTTGTGGCTGACTCTGTCACTTTCCCTTTGGAGGAGAAGTGAGAAAAAATGAGCAGACCAGAGCTGTGTTAAAGAAGAGATAAACGGTGGAGAAAGTCTCTTGCAGCTCGGCGTGTACGCAAATATTTGCAGCCAAAGTTAGAAAGCCTTGCTGCCTCCAGGAGTTTGCAATGTAAAAGCTGAGACCCTTAAGAGTATACAGTAGGAACAGAAAGCATGGTGGCAGAGAATGCATGAAAGTTGTAATTAGGATTTTTTTCAAGGTCAGAGCTCGTCCTATTAACACAGACATGGACATGTGCTGCACGCGGTGGTGTCGCCTGCTCGTTTCCCGAGGAACAATTTCAGGCATACCAGTGGAGGTGCGGGAGCAGAGGAGCAGGGCTGGGTGCAGCCATGTTTATATAGAATCATAGAATCATAGAATTATTAAGGTTGGAAAAGACCTCTAAGATCATCGAGTCCAACCGTCAACCCAACACCACCATGCCCACTAAACCATGTCCCCAAGTGCCTCATTTACACGTCTTTTAAATACCTCCAGGGATGGTGACTCCACCACTTCCCTGGGCAGCCTGTTCCAAGGCCTGACCACTCTTTCAGTAAAGAAATTTTTCCTAATGTCCAGTCTAAACCTCCCTTGGTGCAACTTGAGGCCATTTCCTCTCGTCCTATCGCTTGTTACTTGGCAGAAGAGACCAACCCCCACCTCGCTACAACCTCCTTTCAGGTAGTTGTAGAGCGCGATGAGGTCTCCCCTCAGCCTCCTCTTCTCCAGGCTAAACAGCCCCAGTTCCCTCAGCCGCTCCTCATAAGACTTGTGCTCCAGACCCTTCACCAGCTTCGTTGCCCTTCTCTGGACACGCTCCAGCACCTCAATGTCCTTCTTGTAGTGAGGGGCCCAAAACTGAACACAGTATTTGAGGTGCGGCCTTACCAGGGCCGAGTACAGGGGCACGATCACCTCCCTACTCCTGCTGACCACGCTGTTTCTGATACAGGCCAGGATGCCATTGGCCTTCTTGGCCACTTGGGCACACTGCCTGCTCATGTCATACCAACCATCAGTGCAGCTTCCTATGATTTAATGAAGCCCTGATCCACCCAAGCGGGACAGTGGGGCCTTTTGATTTCGGCAGAGCTATTCAAATGTCTAAAGTTTAGCACCTGCTGGTGTTTCAGCGGAGCGGGGCCTCCCCTTCCAGCAGACTGATGGAAATCTCCCTACAGCAGAAAAGGAGCCGGAGTTGTAAAACTGTCAGACAAAAACTGTCAATGAAAGAAAAATTTGAATAACACGTACTCGAAACACTGGAGATACTGAGATATCTGGAGATATCTGAGAGTATCTTAAGTCCTTTGCAGCATCTTATAACCCCAGAGAATAAGACCTGACAGACAGCCTGATGTATTGTTTGTGAATGATATGGAAAGCTTCTTATTTACTTTGATTAAATACCCACATTTTTATATCTGATAACAAGTAGTTCCTGCAAAGCCTACCTGTACTCAACTGTGATTTTTTTTTCCTACTGCACAGTATGCGATGTGTTTTAAACTCCCATGTATGCATATCTAGTGTGGATGCAGAATTCACTCTGTTGTAAAGATGACCTCTGGAAGACAACTTCTCCTCACTCTGCTTTCTCTTCAGCCAGCCCAAGGAGGGATGGCACAGCTCAGGAGCGCAGCCGCCTCCTGCCCCACGCGCTGCCGCCTGGGTGCAGCTTCACCAAACGACCAAGTTTGGGGTGGGATCCAGGAGGAAACATCTGGACGTAGGTGTCAAAGCACCTGCAGCTCCTGGTCGTTTTGTTCACCCCCAAAAGAGAGAAACTGAGGACACCCTGTGAAGCTATGGGGCTCATCCCCACTGCAGGCACCGCTGCTATCGTCCTCCTCCAGCGGGAGGTTGGACACAGTTTGCCAGCAGGTTTACCAAAGCACGTCTCTGATGGTGAGGTGCAGGTTCAAAGAGGTGGCAGGTCTGGAAGGTGGCTCTGGGAGCCTGGTAACGCCCATCCTTCCCTAGGTTGGACCAGCTGCCAGAGCAGCGAGCTGCTACCTACGTGCTGTGAGCAAAGTGATGCATACTGGCCACATAACCATGGTGCCTGCACATCCGCCGAGGGATGCTGAGGTGCTGGTCAATGGTTTCAAACAGTACACCCTAGAGAGAGGGCCTGAAAATGGCTGGCTTTTCACCTTGGTACTGCTTTCGTCTGTCTGCCTTCGGCATTTTCCAGCCTGTGCTTTGTAGGCAGGGCTGTAAATTTGCCCTGAGGGCTATCTGTGCTGAAACTAACTTGCTTTTTTTGTTGTTCTTCCCCTCGAACAGGAAAAGCACGCAGCGCAGTTTGAGGTGATGAGCTCCTGGGCGAAGCAGCGGGTGGCTGGGGCTACTGCGCAGGCTGAAATCCCTGCTCATCCCCGAGGCGGGATGGATTTTAACGCTGAAGACTTTGCTGCTTCTAATAAAGATTTTCACTGTGGTGGGTGAAATAATCACTGTGGCAGGCAGCTCAGCTGATAGTTGGGTCAGGCAGGGCAGGCAGCGTAAAGTGAAAAAACATTACTTCGTGGTCTGTCATTTTGATTCAAGCACGTTATTGTTTGTCATAATTCTCTGCTCTATAAGACAAAATTACCCGAGCCATTAGCTTTCCTCGGTGCTGCTATATAGGAAAAACTGCGGGGAGGGGAGTACAGACACCACTGGGTGACTGCATCCTTGTGAAACAGGGTGGGCGTCATGTTAGACATCAACAGCAGTGCGCTGTTAACGCCTCTGAAAAGAGAGATGGGGCAAAAAAAAGCCAGAAGAGCAGTGCTGCGGATAAACATTTGCAGTCCCGTATGGCACCCCCAAGGAAGCCCTCTCCGACAGCTCATGCTGGGTTACCAACATGCATTTGCCCAGCCAACACCGCAGAGGGGCAGCAGCACTGGGCTGGGGTGCAGGCAGAGGCGCTCCTGTGGCTTTCAGCTCTGAGGAGGGCAGGTGGGGTGGGCAGAGAGGAAGGGGATCCCTGGCTCTGTGGGGCCAGACAGCTTGGGGGGTCACCCTGTAACCTCTGGCGGCCCACACAACAGGGCTGGGGGCTGAGGAGGGCCTCACGTACAAACTCACACACACTGTATGACTGAAACGTTGTTGCTGCAGGCTGTTTTTCAATTCAGACCACTGTGAGACCAGCAGCCATTTTGCATTGCATGTGCCTGATCTTAAATAGTGATTGCTGCCGAGATTTGGAGCTGGGGGCGTAGGCCCCAGGGCCTCTGGATTCCTATGCTCCTCTGTGTATTCAAGCCTGTATGCTGTTAGAAGGGATTTATATCCCGGTTTAGGTTTCTCTGCTTGATTTACAGAACCAAAGAACCATGCAAACATGAGCAGAGCAGTTCTGAGGCTGGTATGCAAAGATCTGGGCCTCCCTGCAGCCTCCTGAGCCCTCTCCAACTAAAAAACTGCAGGGGTTGCTGAAATGTCCCAGGGGATTTGTCCCTGGGTGTGTCCCCCCAGGCTGGACCCCGAGCTCGATTCAGAGGCGCCCTGGAGCCGGGGTCAGCTCAGCTTCCCACTGCTGCACAGGGAAATTCAAGCGCCTGGGAGAAACTGGATAGGTGCAAGGCCAGAGTCTCCATGTGGTGCTGCGTGTGCATGTGTGCGTGTGTGCATGTATACGTGTGTATGTGCACGTGTGTATGCATGTGTGCATGCATATGTGTGTGCATGTATGTGACACAGCCAGCTCAGCCGGGCATTCAGTTTCAGAGAGGACAAAAAGTATAGCACATCAAG